GTCTAGTAACAATCCCTAACTCCAGAACCATTAACAGTGTAAATCAGATTTAATGAACTTTGTTCTAGAAAGCTGAGGGTCATAGAAGTAGTGTAGAATAATAATAGCTAGTACTTATATAACACTTTAAAGTTTGCAAAGTGCTTCATAAATATTAACTCATTTTATCCTCACAACCACCCTGGAAGGGAGCTGCTATTATTAACCGCATTTCAGTAGGAAAAGCACTGGACTCAAAGTTAGGAGAGCCCTGGGTTCGAATCCTACCTCCAGCATTTATTAGCTGTGTGATTGCTGTACAAGTCACTTAATCTCTTTGAGAATGTTTCCTTATCTGTAAAAAGGGAGTAATCATGCAGGACCTAGTTCTCAGGACTGGTGAGGATCAAATGAGATGTTATGTGTAAAACCCCTTTGCAAACCTTAAAGCATCGTGTGTTGTTCTTGTTCAGTTGCTCAGTCAAGTCTGACTCTGACTCTTTGTGACCCCATGGACTATAGCACACCAGGCCCTTCTATCCTCCACTATCTTTTTTTTTCTTTTTGGCTAGGTAGTGGGGTTAAATGACTTGCCCAGGGTCACACAGCTAGTAAGCGTTATATGTCTGAGGGCGGATTTGAACTCAGGTCCTCCTGAATCCAGGGCCGGTGCTCTATCCAGTGAGCCACTTAGCTGCCCCCTCCACTATCTTATGAAGTCTGTGCAAGCTCATGTTCATTGCTTTCATGACACTATCTAGCCATCTCATCCTCTTCCATCCCCTCCTCTATCCCCTCCTCCTTTTGCCCTCAATCTTTCCCAACATCATGGTCTTTTCCAATGAATCCTATCTTCTCATCATGTGGCCAAAGTAGTTAAGCTTCAGCTTTGGTATTTGACCTTCCAGTGACTGGTCTGAATTAATTCCTTTAAGTATTAATTGATATGACCTCCTTGATGTCCAAGGGACTCTCAAAAGCTTCTCCAGCACCATAATTCAAAAGCATCATTTCTGTGGCACTCAGTTTTCCTTATAATCCAATTCTCACAGCCATACATTGCTACTAAAAAAACAACAACATAGCTTTGACTAATATGGACCTTTGTCAGCAAGGTGATATCTGTTTTTTTAGTACACTGTCCAGATCCAACATAGCTTTCCCTCCAAGGAGGAAGCATCTTTTAATTCCATGGCTGCAGTCACCATCTGCAGTGATCTTTGAGCCCAAGAATATAAAATCTGACACTGTTTTCATTTCTTCTCCCTCTATTTGCCAGGAAGTAATGGGATCCGTCGCCACAACCTTAGGTTTTTTTGGTTCTTTGTTTGTTTTTAATGTTAAGCTTCAAGTCAGCTTTTACATTCTTCTCTTTCATCCTCATCAAGGGGCTTCTTAATTCTTCTTCACTTTCTGCCTCCAGAATGGTATCATCTGCATATCTAAGACTGTTAATATTTCTCCCAGCAACCTTAATTCTGGCTTTTGACTCATCCAGCCAGGCATTTCATATGGTGTATCCTGCATATGTTAAGTTAGGTGGACAATGTACATCCTTGTTGTACTCCCTGTCCAAACTTAAGCCAATCAGTTGTTTCATTTCAGTTCTAACTGTTGCCTCCTGACCCACATACAGATTATTCAGGAGACAAATAAGATGACCTGGTACTCCCATCTCTTTGAGAACTTGCTACATTTTGTTGTGATCCACACAGTCAAAGGCTTTAGTGTAGTCAATGAAGCAGATGTTTTTCTGGAACCACCTTGCTTTCTCCATAATTCAGCAAATGTTGGCAATGTGGTCTCTAGTTCCCCTATTTCTCTGAAAACTCAGCACTATGTAATAGCCAGCTCTTATTAACTGTTCCTATTATTATGCTCCATTCATTGATAATGGCCTTACTTGGATGGCTCGTTACAATAGAGAATTTCTAAATGACAGCACAAATTAAATAAGAGCACTAGAGAAAATAATTTGAAAAGAAATGAGAGATTTGAAGAAAAAGAAGTTGAAAACTAACAGCTTCTTGAAAATTACAATGGATCAAATAAAAGTTAATGACTCCATAAGACAAGAAATACTAAAACAAAATCAAAAGACTAAAAAGAGAAGTAAATGGAAGTTTATAGTATATAAAAAATAATCTGAAAAACAAATAAGGGAAGAATAATTTAAGAATCAATGGCCTACCATGAACAACAACAAAAAAAGAGCCTAGATATATAGTTTAAGAAATAATGAAAGGAAGCTGCTTAGTCACAGAAAATAAAATAGCAAAATGAAAATAGAAAGAATCTACTGGTGACCTTCTGAAAGAAATGCCAAAATGAAAATTTGTTGGAATGTCATAGTCAAAATCTTGAGTTTCCTGGTCAAAGAAGAAAACATTGCAAGCAGCCAGAAAAGAAAGAATTCAAATACCAAGGTGCCACAGTCAGGATCACATAAGATTTAGCAGCTACTTCTACAAAGAAATGTTAAATTCCAAAAGGCAAAAGATAATAGCTTACAATAAAAAATAACCCAGCAAAATGGAATATATCTTATAGAAGGGAAATGAATCTCTTAATGGACTAGACTTTAAGAATTCTAGAATTGACTAGAACTTTAAAATACAAATGAGTCAAGAGAAACACTTAAAAAAATGTGAAAAGCAATCAGAAGGGACTATACAAAGAAGTGTTTATTTTCGAATAGAAAAAGATGACACTGTATAGGGGGATAAATAAGACAGAGGCACTGGGAGGGCAGGTAGGTGGCACAGTGGAAAGAGCACCGGCCCTGGATTTAGGAGGCACTGAGTTCAAATCCAGCCTCAGACACATAACACTTACTAGCTGTGTGACCTTGGACAAGTCACTTAACCCCATTGCCTAACTGGGAAAAAAAAAAGACAGAGCCTCTGGGACAGGTTTTCTTACATTTTGATAATTTTTTTAGGCAATATTTTGATAATCTTTAAAAAAGAAAGAAATTGGAAGAATAATGAAATAAAAACTAAGATGATACTGAGATAAAGAATCACAAGGAAGTTTATTTTTAAATGTCAATATCTGTTCACATGTTTTAAAAAATAATAAGGAAAAATATAATTTCCCTAACATACCACCTTTATCTTACCCTGTTGCTGTGGTGAATAAAATGCTGGATTTAGAGTCAGGAAGACTTGAGTTGAAATCCTGTCTCAGACATCCATTAGCTGTGTAGCCCTGGACAGGTCATTTAACTTCTCTCAGACTCCATTTCCTCATTTGTAAAACAAAAGGCTTGGATTCAGTGGCCTCTAAGATCCTTTACAACTCAAACTCTATGATCCTAAATCTCAGTATGGCTAAATCAGCATAGAAAACTTTAGGAAAAATGACCCACTAGAATAAGAAGCCCTTATAGACATTCTCAAAAGAAGCACTTTGGGGAATCAGCATGTTAACAAGTACAGGATGAAAAAATAAAAACTGTGAACCTCCAAGTTTTTCAAGTTTTCACGAATAGTCACTAATAACCAATTATATGTCTACTATATGTCAGGTACTGTGCTAAATGCTGGGACTAAATTTAAAAAAAGTGGCAAAACACAGTCTCTGCCCTCAAGGAGCTCACAATCTACTTTGGGCATTTTTAAAAAACCAAGATGAGGGGAAAAAATAGGTAAAATATGCACTCCTTACTTTCCTTGTTTTGTTGGTTTGACTATTTTAATGAGAGAGAAAAAAAGAGACAGAGTCAGAGAGACAGGTCCAGGCCAAAAAAAGGAGAAAAAAAAGCTACTGTAATTTGAATACTATTTATTTTAATATCTACTGAGGGATTTTATTTATGAACATCAAAACATTTTTGTGTTCATTTGTGTTAAGAAAAACAATAAACAAAAATCAATAAAAACAATGGCTACCTACCTACACTCATGTACCACCTATATGTATAATATACACATGCACACATTTTCTGGTCTGGTTCTGTGATGTCAAAAGTGCTGGGAGCTGTCCACGAGGAATATCTCTCTGCTTCTATTGGCAGATCAGCAACTGTTCCATGACTTGTAGTCTTAGAGCACAGACTCATAACCTTCTTGTATGTGTTACGGACCCCCGTGGCAGTCTAGACTCATTCTCAGAATGATGGTTTTAAATGCATAAAATAAAAATACATAGGATTATAAAGGAAACCAATTATGTTGAAATACAATTATCAAAATACTGAAAAGGTAAGTTCATGGACCTTTCATTCAGTTCCCTTACAGAGCTGTCTTAGGTACTACGAGATAAAGGGATCTGGGGGCGGGGAAACAGGGAGTTAATATTCAGAGTCAGGATTTGAACCCAGGTCTTCTTGATTCTGAGGATGATTCTCCATCTACCATGCCATACTTTAGCAGTAAGTACCTTGAATATATATCATATTGTATATTTATGACATATATAACATATAGACAACATAAATAACGTGTATATGACATACTTAGACTGTAGGATATTATGTGTATAGCACTGAACATATGTTATACACATATATTCAATGTACCTGCAGCCAAAGCATATTACATATATACACATATAATTTAAATATGTACATATATTCTCACATGCATATTTTCATATATATAATGTCTAAAAATTGAGAAATGTCTATGTATTACACACACACACACACACCACACACTCCTAGAGCAGCACATTATGGTAAACTGGTTATCCTCAATTTAATAATATGCTAAATGAGAAAGTATTAGACGAAAACGCTTCTGAGGTTCCTTTCAGTTCTAAAATCTCTGGTTCAACGATACCTTCTCTTCAACTACAATCTAGAACACAAAAGAATTATGTTTATTCTGTTCTTATTCCTCACATGTCAGTTTCTTGCTACAAGCATCCATTCTCAGAATTCCCTTAACACAAGCACTTCTTCCAAGGTGTCTGTTGAAGAAAACATTTAAACAAAATTTATAGAGGTGGGGGAGGGGGACTGTGATCAGTCATTTTCCAAACCTACTGTCCCTTCTGGAAACTGGCCTCTTTCTTACCTTCAAAGAATTGCTGCAATGCTTCATTCTCTCCCACCACTTCCATGATAAGGACACAGGTCCTGGCCAAATGGAACGGTGCCGAACTTCAGGAAGTAGGGACTATTGTCCTCCTTTTGTTAGAGGTCTACCAGTAAACTTGAAAAAGTTTCATGTTGTTCTAAAGAGGTGAAGATCTCCAGGTTAGTGACTTGGTCCAGGTAAAGATATATTATGATCTTAACTGGTCCTTCTGTAAGAAGCAGGGGGCATTATAAGGTGGTAAGCAAAAGTTAACAGGTGAAGGAGGGAAGCAGGAGCAAATTAATTCATCTTCCACTCAATACAGAAAATGTTCTATTCTGCATTTCTTCTTTGTTTCAAGGACCTTTGGCCTTGGTGACACATGCAATTATATAGATGGGCAATAAATATATAGGCTTATCTTCTCCCTCATTCTAGAACAGGATATTTATAATTCTACCACTACAAACAGATCTCTTCAGCCAAGGTGAAGACAGAGGAGGGGCCGAGTCTACATTCCAAGAGAGCAGGAAGTAGTGAGTGTAACTCACTTCTGTCAAACACCAAGTTCAGAATGCCATAGTTAAGAAATGCTCTTGGGTCATCTAGTGGCTCAGCGACAGAGCACCACCTCTGAAGTCAGGAGGAGCTGAGTTCAAATTTGGCTTCAGACACTTACTAGCTGTGTAACTCTGGGTAAGTCACTTAACCCTATTGCTTCCAAAAAGAAAAAGAAAGCCTTGTTTTCTTCATTTATAAAGTGGGGATAATAATAGCCCCTACTTCACAGAGTTCTAAGTCATGAATTAGATAACATATATGAAGTGCTTTACAAACGTGAAAGTACTACATAAAAAATGTGAGCTACAAGGATTGTTGAGTTTTAAGGGATTGTGATTTTTAATAGTTCTAATTGTTTGGAAGGCTTGCACAAATGCCTGAGCCCCTGGCTGCCTCAGCTTCCTCCATTTAAGGGGGAGGGGGAGGGGGGGAGAGAGAGAGAGAGAGAGAGAGAGAAGAGAGAGAGAGAGAGAGAGAGAGAGAGAGAGAGAGGAGAGAGAGAGAGAGAGAGAGATTGTTCTTATGAAACTATAAAAATAAGTTCAGAAGTCCCACTGTCCAATAACCTCACAAGTTTGTTGTGAGGAAAACACTTTATAAACCAGAAAATGCTATTAATGAATTGTTGTAAATCCACAATTAAATGGGAATAACAATTTCTTTTTAAAAACATCATTTACATATTTTGTTTTCATAGAACTGACATTTTCCAATAAAAGCCCAGATAATATCCCATGCACAAAGTACATTCCCCCCTCTCAGATACCAACATCCTTTATATTTTCTCATAAAACTTAGTATTTTTTTAAAGTATATACTAAATTCAGATCACTAGTTTCAAAGCTATTCCACTTGTCTCTGATGCTTCTCTGTAACTCCTTCTCCTGTCTCTCTTTTTCAAATGTTTCACTGACACTTTTTGTTTTTCAATTTGGCATCACTATCATTCCCCTTACCCCCATGATGCAACCAAAAAAAAATAAAATTTAAACCCAACCTTGTAGCAAGTTAATATAGTCAAGCAAAAAATCCACACAATGTCCATGTCCAAAAACACATATCATTTCACACCTATAGCCAATCACTTTTCTGTCAAGAGGTAGGAAATATATGTCATCATTGGTCATCCCAAGAGTCTTGGGTCATCATTGCATTCACCAAACTACCTAAGTCCTTCAGAGTTGCCAGTTATTTTAGTTCTACTCATTTCACATTGCATTAGTTCATACGGTTTTTCTAGGCTTCTCTGAATCCATCCCTTTCATCATTTCTTATGGTTTAATAATATTTCATTGTGTTAACATACCATAATTTCTTTCACCAGTCCCAATTGAAGAGAATCTGCTTAATATCCAGCTCTTTGCTATAGCAAAAGTGTAGCCATGACTATTTTTGTGTGGATACATAAACATATATAAGTAGTGTATATGCATAGGGCAGCTAGGTGGCACAGTGGATAAAGCACTGGGCCTGAAGTCAGGAAGACTCATCTTCCGAAGTTCAAATATGGCCTCAGATACTTACTAGCTGTGTGACCCTGGGCAAGTCACTTTAACCTGTTTGCCTCAGTTTTCTCTGTAAGATGAGCTGGAGAAGGAAATGGCAAACCACTCCAGTATGTTCGGCAAAAACACCCCAAAAGGGGGTCACGAAGAGCCAGACATGACTGAATAACTGAACATGCCTATGTATGTGCGTATGTATACACGTGTGTATGTTTATGTTTTTATGTAATTCATATTTTTCCTGTATTTCCATGCATACATGTATACATACATGGGTCCTTTCCTCTTTTACTTCCAGGTGGAGGGGGTGTGTGTGTGTGTGTGTGTGTGTGTGTGTACTCAGCAGTGGTATCACCTGGCCAAAAAGCACGAAGTTTGGTTAGTTTAGTTAGACTAATAAACCACAGTTCCAAGTGGCTTTCCAGAGTAGTTGATCCACTTTACAACTCTCTCATCACCTATTCTCCTTTATCCCTTTCAACAATTGTCATTGTATGTTGGAGAAGATGTGGGGAAACTGGAACACTAATGCATTGTTGGTGGAGTTGTAAAATGATCCAACCATTTTGAAGAGCGATTTAGAACTATGCCCAAAGGGCTATAAAAATGTGCATACCCTTTGACCCAGCAATAGCACTTCTAGGTCTCTATCTCAAAGAGATCATACAAATGGGAAAAGGACCCACATGTGCAAAAAATATTTATAGCAGCTCTTTTTGTGGTGGCAAAGAATTGGAAACTGAAAGGATGCCCACGAACTGGGGAAAGGCTGAACAAGTTGTGGTATGTGAATGTAATGGAATACTATTGTGCTATAGGAAATGATGAGCAGGTGGACTTCAGAAAAACCTGGAAAGACTTGTATGGACTGATGCTGTGTGAAGTGAGCAGAACCAGGAGAATGTTGTAACACAGTTAACAGCCACGTTGTGCAATGACTAACATCGATAGACTTAGCCTTTCTCAGCAGTGCTAGGATCTACAACATCTCCAAAGGTCTCATGATGGAAAATGCTATCCACATCCAAAGAACGAACTATGGAGTTTGAATGCAGATTGAAGCATACTATTTGCTATTTTACTTCTGTTTTGTTTTCTCTTTCTTGTGGTTCCTCGTATTGGTTCTAATTCTTCTTTACAACATCACTAATGTGAAAATGTTTAATTGGAATGTACATGTATAGCCTATGTCAGACTGTGCGCCATCTTGGGATGGGAGGTGGAGAGGGGGGGGAGGGGGAGGGGGAGAAAAAAATTAAAACTCAAAAGCTTATGGAAGTGATTGTTGATAAATCAAAATAAATTAATGAAAAAAATTATCATTTTCCCTTTTTGTAATTTTTGTCAATCTGATAAATGTGAGGTGGAATACTAGTTATTTTCTTTTTTATTTTTAGTGATTTTTTCAAATAGTTTTTGATAAATTGAGTTCGTGGGGTTTTTTTTAAACTATCTGTTGATATCCTTTTTATCTTTTGGGGAATGGCTCTTCTTCAGTTCCTTATATATATATTTGATATCAGAAAATGTTGCTGCAAAGATTTTTTCCCCAGGTAACTATTTCCCTTCTAACGACAGCTGAATTGATTTTCTTTATGCAAAAGATTTTTAATTTTATTTAGAAAATGGTCCATTTTACTTCCTGTGATCCTCCACATTCCGTGTTTAGTGAAAAACTCTTCCCCTGCTCGTAACTGAGAAAGGTTTCTCCTCTGCTCCTTTAGTATCTTCATAGCATGTCCTTTTCCATCTGCGACACAGATGCATTTTGAGCTTATTGCCGGCATATGTTGTGAGGGGAAGCAGTGGACTGCTTCCCAATTGTCCCAGTAAGCTTTGCTGAATTTTTACTTTTTACCCTAGCAGTTTGGGTCTTTAGATTTTTTGGACAACTTGTTACTCTTAATTTGCTTCTTGATTTTGTATTCCCAACCTGATCCACTTCTGTATTTTTTATCCAAATAATTTCAGTAGTTCCTTTCTAATATAATTTGAAATCTGATAACTGTTTAGGTCCCTTTCTAATTTTTTTTTCATTATTTCCTTTGAGATTTCTGACCTTTTGTTCCTCTTGATGAAGGGCGGGGGGGGAGGGAAGGAAGATGCTTCAATTTGTACTCTGAAATCAATCAGGCCTCTGTTTGGAGGTGGATAGCATGCTCATCATGAGTCATTTGGAATTGATCTCATCAATGTTCATACTCTAAGTGTATACACTTAGAATAACTATAGTGCTCCTCAACATTCATGAGGATTAGGGGAACAGGATCCCCTCAGATATGGAAAAACTGCAAAGAACTCTTCGATCATATTTATTTAACACTCAAAACAAGTAAAACAATACACTGCAACCATAAGAAAAAGATGCAGTTTCTACAGGAGAGAGACTGGTATTTTGCACACCATGCAGTGTTCACGGCCACTGGTGTAACTACAGCAACTGTTTTTCGGAGTTCCTTCTCCTGTGAAAAATGCAGGATACAATGATCGCTGCTGCAAAAATCATTTGACTGAGTTGGGATGGTAGAGACAAAGAGGAGAGTTCTTTAGTGCACTAAAACTTTTTAAAAATTTAACTGTTTGTAATAAATTTATGTACATATACTAATGGTAATAAATATAAAATGGATTAATAGACAGCATTCATGCATTTGACTTAATCATTTTTTTTAAAGTTTTCTTTAGATATACACATCATCTGTGATTTACCACAGAAAGACGTAAACCTCCAAAAATTCCCACTTAATTCTCGATGGCCAACCCACGAACAACTGAAACCAGGGATGACTGTACATCACAACCCATCTATGAATGCTCATCTTCAGGACCACTTGTTCGGTCATATGAAAATCCTCTTTAGACAGCCCCACCCAATGCAGTGAGGGTCTTACCCTAGTTTTCCAGTGGAAGCCTTTGTTCTTAATGCATTGCTGCAGATTCATACCCATCACGCTCCTCTCTCTACTGCCCTTTGGGTGAACTTTAATGTTGAGGCAAACCCTAATACACTACACAAATGTTAGAGTTTAGTATTCTACTATAATGATTACTGCTCCACAAAATCCTACTCTGATAATTGAGTGGTGCAGAAGTAGATCTGGGTTCTTAAAAACTCTTACCAGGAAAACACACTTTTGACAGGATTTCTTTAAAACTGTTTTTTTAAAAAGTTTCAATATGGTCCCAGCAAAAGACTGTATCTGCTTTCCAAGGTCACTTGATAATGGCCACTTCCCAAGGCCATGGCAACTCATAGTAAAT